TATATGCATTTGTGCCCAAATCGTTTTTTTGGAGCAGTTGTGCCCAAAACATTTAAATCTGATTCAAAAGTCACCCCCATTGGATGGAAACCGTCAGTCAACTGACGGTCAACGGCTCTAGCTGACTAAGCAAGCACATGTGGATAGCAATGATGACGTGGCGTGTCTACATCACTAATATATGTTGACGTGGAATTGACACGTCAGCAATTTTTTTGTTTAAAAATTTAATTTCAATTAGAATTTTGCACCAATAAGAGAGTGACATGTGTCACTCTCCCATTGGCGTGTATTGGGAAGAACGAATAAAATGATACTATGTGCGTGGAAAGGGACTCAAACCTAGGGCAAGGGCATGAAATGGGATGGCCCTTGCCACCAGGCCAAGCATACTACTTGGTTATTTTGTGTAACAAAATCTTATTTAACTCTTAAAAATTAGTACTAGAATTATAATAATTTTAAATTAAAATTTATTTTAATTTTAAGTTGAATAATAAGCATTTTTATTTTAATAAAAATATATTAATAAAATAAAATTTAAAGATTGACCTATAGTGAAATTTTCCATAAGATTTTAATATCAAGTATTTTTTTGAATTCGAATCAAATTAATTTTTGTGATAATAGAAACAAATAAAATTAAAATCATGCTTTATTTCATCCTGTCATATTATCATCCCTAATTTAAACCAACATCAATTTAGAACCTAACTCATAATTTGAAGCTATTTTATACAAGAAATTCTTAAAATAACAAACAAAAGATTTTCAATGGAAGTAAGTAATCATATTATTTGGTTTAAATTAAATATTTTTCAATTAAATTAACAAAATTGTGAACTAAATATATAAAAGAAATTGATTAAACACACAAGATATCAAAATTAATATTAGGACTTTTTCAAAACTAAACTGCAAGAGCTAGGGCTCTATACCTGTTACCAATACCCTATAAGTAAGCAAAATTGAACAAGTGAATGCATGAAAGTGAACACGCTTTTGATGCTACAACAGATTGATGGAAAATTTCTTCATACTATCATCATTCATCGTCGTTTCACTCTCCCTTGTAATTTCAAAAGCTGAATCAAAATCACGCCTGATCGACCACCTCTTCGCCTTTCAATCCTAATCGAAATCGGGGGTCATCCATTTGGACGATCAATCTGTCTTCAAATTTTTAACGTCGCCGGAACCCCAGCCCCTTACTCTATGCTCATCTTCTTCGACGCCATTCAACTCCACGATAAATCCGACCTTAGCCTCTGCGATCTCAGCCAAGAGTTTACCATCGTCGCCTTTTCCGTCATTGCCAACCACAACTCGGCCAGCCCCAAGCTCTTCTTCTGCGACACCGAGTTCCGCGAATCCAAATCTTCTTTCAACCTCCTCGACGTCAATTCCCTTCCCAACCTCCACCTCGTTGGCCCCACCGCCAAATCACTGAAAGACGACTCAGAATGAATGCAACAGGCCGGTTTCACTCGATTCACTGAATCACTCGTCGATTTCATCGAGTCTAAAACTAAACTCACCGTGGGTCCCATCCATCGTTCGAAAACTCAAACCGACATCATCCTCGGGTTTTTACTGATCTAGTTCGTGTTCACTGCTAGAAAGATATTCAGCGGCGAAATCGTGCTACACAATCCTAGGATTTGGCTTTCGGGAGCCATTTTTTTATTTCTTCAGCATTTCGGGGGCAATGCATACCATATTAATTAGGATGTCGATGTTCTTGATGGACAGGGACGATCTAGACAAATTGATATTCTTCTACTGAGGAACAAGAGTACAGCTTGGGTTTAGGGGAAAAATCAGTTTGAAGATGCCTATAAGATATTTGAAACACGTATTTTATTTTGTTTAATTAAACTGAATATTTATTATGGGTTAAATAAGATTTTGTTACTTAAAATAACAAAGTAATATTTGGCCTGGTGGCAAGGGCCATCACATTTCATGCCTTTTCCCTAGGTTTGAATCCTCTTCCATGCAAATAAGAGTATTTTTTTTTTTGTTCTTGCCAATACGCACCAATGGGAGAGTGACAATGTCACTGTCTTATTGGTGCAAAATTCTAATTGAAATTAAATTTTTAAACAAAAATATTGTTGACGTATCAATTCCACGTCAGCATATATTTGTGACGTGGACACGCCACGTCATCATCATTGTCCACTGTGCTTGCTTAGTAAGCTGGAGCCGTTGACCGTCAGTTGACTGACGGTTTTCATCCAACGGGGGTGACTTTTGAATCAGATTTAAACGTTATGGGTACAACTGCTCCAAAAAAACGATTTGGGCACAAATGCATATAATGTCAAACGTTAGGGGTATTTGTTTGCATTATACCTTAATTTAATTTATAAAATTTTAAAATTTTAAAAGACTCAACATATAATTATAATTTAGTTAAAAAAAATTATTCAAAATATACCTTTGACCACCTAACTATTGCCTTTTCATTTTGATCACCATTTTTTAAATTTGTCAATCGACTCACTCAACTATTTAAATACATTCAATTAAGCCACTTGCCGTTAATATTTAACGGAGAAGATGATGTGGAAGTTAAAATATTTGATATAATCACATTTGATCATTGTTACTTATATATTCTATCAATTTGGTCCTAATTTTAATAAATTAAAATAAATTTAACCCTCAAATCAAATGGTATCATTTGTCACTGGTACCAAGTGTAATGATATGTGTCACCATCCAATTTGATGATTAAATTTATTTTAACTTAATATATATTTTTTACCAATCAGAGGGTGACACGTGTCACCCTCAAGAGGAAATAAAATTTTGGGCACTTAAATGATACCCAGGGAATTAAACATGGGTTCCTCAATTGAAGAAGTAAGGCTCAATCATTGAGCCAAAATAGTTAATTAATTTAAATTTGATTACATATATTATTTATGTTGTATATTAGTGTAAACTTAAATTCTGAATATTTCATATATCTTAATTTAAATTCACATATCAAATTAATTTTATATCTTAACATTAAAAATATATTTTATTTTTATATTAATTTAAATATATTTTATTCTTGTCTTACCCTAAAAATATATTTTATTCTTATTTTAACTTAAAAATATATTTTAATCTTTATCTTAATTTAAAAAATATATTTTATTCTTATATTAACTTATTACATAAATTAAAATAAATTATACCAAATATTAATTTTAAAATCAATTGAAATAAATTTGATCATCCAAACGGATGGTGACACATGTCATTACACTTGGCGCCGATGACACATGAGACCATTTGATTTGAGGGTTGAGTTTATTTTAATTTATTTAAAATGTACCAAATTGATAAAATATATAAGTAACAATAACCAAATGTGTAATTATACCAAATATTTTAAATGTTAGATCAAATTTTTTTTTAAATATTAACGAGAAGTGTCTTTATTAAATGTATTTAAACAATTGATTGATCTTATTAACATAATTTTAAAATGGTAGTCAAAATGAAAAGGGACAATAGTTAGATGATCAATGGTATAATTTACCCTTTATTTTAGATAATTTACCTTTAAATTTTTAACTAATTTATAATTATACATTGAACCTTTAAAATTTTATTTTTTTATAAATTAAATTAATGATATTTATCGTTAATAATATTCATTAATGTTAAAATTTCCCTATAATATATGTATCACACGAATAAATAAAATAATTTAAAAAAGTTAAGAACAAAATCTTCTGATCAAATGAATTTTTCAAAATTCAAATTTGAGTTCGCTATCACAATATCCATCAATTTTTCGGCATTTTATTAATGTCGTATGGTAGGGAGAAATTGACATTTTCCGCAAGTAATGCAACGTTAGGTTGGTAGAGTGAGGCCGGCCCTAAAATGTAGCAGCCAAGTAAACTTGTTCTTTCGTTTTCTCATCTGCTTTCCTTATTTACGGGTCAAAAACAGAGTAATAGCTTTAGATTAATTTTTTAAATCGGATTTTATTTTAATCTTCACGTATTATTTGAAATATTTAAAGCATACATTTTATTGCTGAATTTAATAAATCATTTTTTATTATTTAAATATTTGTTGGATTATTACGTGATCAGTGGGTAAAATTTTATTTTTATAAATCATCTTAATTTAATATCACATGTCTGAATATTGACGAATGACACATACAACACGTTAATGTCATTTGTGGAGATAAAAAACACTTTATTACCAGTATATCAAATAAGTTCCTACATTAATTTAAGGTTATTAATTGTTATTCAATAATCCATTGAGGCAGTAGGCGAGGGCAGTTCTGTATTATAGAATTAAGTTTTCATTGTCAAGGTTACGAAATAATAAGTATCTTAATATTAGGGGTGTTCATATGAGTATTTCTATTTTTTTAATATTTGAAAGGTTGAATATATGAAATTTTCGTATAATAAAAATTCAACTTATGTCTCGGTCCACTAAAATAGAGTACCCAAAAATTTGGATACTCACATTTTTTTCCAATTAAATTTCGAGTGATTTAAAGAAAAATTTAAACTATGCGAAGAAAGAGGAGTGAAATACGGACATTTTGATATCAATTTTGTTGTGAAAGATGATTGATGATGGACGATGATTGACTGTCGACTGCTACCGAAAAACTAAAATAGCAAAAATTGAACTATTTAAAAGTTTACTAACAAGATTGATACACCTCTAATATTTAGTGTCTAAAATGACGTCGTCTTAATCATCAATATTCACGTCAAGACGATGTCGTTTTGTCTATGTCAGAACACTATTTGAACTTTAGTGATTTAGTGGCATATTCTGATAACAAATCACCTGCCTTATATTTATACTGCATGAAAAACATAACTCTTACGAAACATTTTTACTGCATTAAACTCAAACTTTAACATGAAATATAACCAATAAAAAATGGTAAATAAAAAATGGTTTATACATACATGGGTGTTCTCTTTAGATGTTCTAGCTCTTTTTTTCAATGCCCCGATGTCAACAGCCTCGTTATAAAACTCATTTCCACACCAAGGACACAAGGTAACCTGATGTCTGCCAGCTATTTTAGGCAACGGTGGCAAAACATCCTTTCCATGCTAAACACAGGAATCAAACTTTAATGCCATCTCTGAATTGTATGATGGTACCTTGGAGTTTACTGAACGAGGACTCGGTTGAGCAGTCATAAAACTATATTCCATATGTTCTAAGTTTTCAGATCGCAGCCCTCCAAAACCTGGTTCATTGCTGCACTTCCCTCTAGTGTTGAACATTTCACTTCCACCCTGTCCATTACAAAAATATTCAGTCAAATTTGGTTAAGCAAACTACAACTAATTCATTTTAAGCATTTGTTTACTTTCAGTACAGCCTCTCAATCATTTAATGATACCTTGGAATTTCCTGAACAAGAACTTGATTGAGCAGTCAGAAAATTATATTCCATATGTTCTATGCTATCTGATTGCAGACCATCAAAAGCTGATGCACTGCTGCACTTTCCACTAATGTCAAACATTTCACTTTCACCCTATCAATTACAAGAATATAGCACTGTCAAAATTCTTTAATGAAACTAGCACTAATTTTTTGAAAAGCTGCACCTAGTGGGCAAAAATAAATTATTTACTTGTACTGAGAACATCTGCGATCAGCCGTAACCTTTAATACCATTAAGTTAAAAACTTAAAATTTAATAACCACATCTTGAAAAGAACTAGAAATAAACATAACATACAACACTTGACACCTATATCATACTTTTTTCTGAGAAAAATAACAGTTTCATGCTTTTTTGCGTTATAGTACAACTTATAGGAGAGAATGAGAGATCAAATCTGTACCTTATGTGACATCCAGTCATATGCAGGGTAATAACCAGATGATGGCAACAGCTGAGTTGAGGTATCAGCCAAACCACTCAGCAGAACATTTCCTTCATTACTTTTCCATGTGAGCCCAGTCATGGAATCCTCAATAGGCCGGGCATGATTGGAATAGCCGATCATTATTTCATTAGTCCTTGCATTTTTAAAACCCAGTAACCTAGACCCATTATGAGCTGTGCCTGCATGAACCATGTTCAAATTATTTGCAACATGTGTTTGTTCACCACTCGATAGGCCAAAGAAATTCCCAAAAGGATCTTTATTTTGCTTTGGTTCATGAACAGCACCACTGCTAATACCAGGTACATTATTTTTACCTGCAATTTTCTCCCTACTTCCAGAAAAATGAGGGGAACAACTTCCCTGCATGCTGCCTGTCAAAGCAAATGGTCCTGGTCTAGAATAAGCATTTCCAAAAAAAAAGCTTCCCCCTTTGTGTTTGGGCTCCTCTATTGTAAAGAGAGAAACTTTGTTCATACTATTTTCATAGTTACTGTTTTGCTGATTAGCATATTGTTGATAGAGAATGCTCTAAGATCCTTTATCCTGTTTATAATCTGGGGTGCAGGTAGATGTTTTCTTATATGAAGATGGACCAAATTGACTATCTTTTGTCTTTTCATGCTTTTGTTTGCACCCACACCACTGTCATGCCTGTTCGCACCTTGAATTAATCCTCTAGAATTTTGGCCTTCATCAAGTTCGGACATCTCTACTGTCCGGCTAAAGACCTTAAATGCATTATTGTCAAAAGGAAATATTTGCTCCCTTCCATGTGAAGCAAGCAAGACAGTTTCACTTTTATCTTGTGAGGGTTTCTTTGAAGGGATACGGCTTTGGAAAGAAACAGTAGGGCCAATATTTGCAGACTCATTGACCATAATAGATGCCGGATCATCTAATGTACCAGAGACTAGAATCGAATTATTGTTGATGACACATGTTTGGTCTTCTTTGGACGAAGTTAAACCACATCCAGAACCTCTTTCATGAGCAGAATCTATTGTCACAGAAGCCCCTTTCAAATGATCTACGAAATTGACTCTTTTTTTGTTGCCGGAAGAAATGAGTGGATAACCTTCACTATAATTTTCCTGCTTGGAATCCAACCTTATGCTAGTATCAGCACAACCAGTTTTTCGATCATCCCTTGTAGCTTTATCCTTCAAATCAGCTTCCATCCCTTTCAAAAAGCTAGGAAAATGTCTATCCTCAATATTTTCTTCAGTAAACATATTTCCCTTAGAATTTGGAGGAAGGAAACTGGTGCCTGAAGCACACTCTCTCTTCTTCTCCTCCACTGGAATGGGAAATCCAACATCTATTTTACATGAAGGTTGGGAAATCCCTTCTTTGTCAGCAGTAAACAAGACATTTTCAGAACCCAAAGAAACATTAAGATCAGCAGCAGCAGCATTGACATCTCCTTTATTATCAGCTGCAGAATAGAATTTACTTTGTTTATCACAATTTTTCTCACCTAACACTCTTTCATTGCTATTAACCTTATCCTGTTCATCATGAGACAATAAATTGCATTCATGATTGTCATCAGTAAATGTTTGAACCAGAGGATTTTCATTAGATTCACTGCAGCGAATACCGGGTCCTATTTCGTTGTTGCGAGCGGAATTTAATGGCTGAATGATGTTTTGCTCTCCAGCAGAACCTTCAACTTTCTTCATATTGTTTTCTATGTGGATCACAAGATGGCTACTGTAGCAAATCCTTTCTTCAAATAGTTCATGACAAAACTGGCACTCGTATTTTCCATTTTTGTTTCTCACCTCCACATTAGTTAAGGTACCATGTGCCGAACTCATTGCTGATCCTTTGTGAGATGATAACAGGTGGCATATAAAATCGTCTTGCAAATTGAAAGTCATGGTGCATTTGTGGCATTTTATTATTTTAGTCCTCTGTACTTCCCTTGGACTCCCCATTTTTTGTAAGGGATAGGAGTGTAAACGAGTCGAGTCGAGTCGAGTCGAGTTCGAGTATTGCTAAGCTCGACTCGACTCGAAAACTCTGAAATGGAGTTCGACTAGACTCGAAAACTCGCGAGCTTAAAATTTTTAAGCTCGACTCGAACGCAAAATCTTGAACTGAAGCTCGTGAGTAGCTCGAAAAGACTCGAAATGAAAAAAAAAATCTTAAACTTAACAAGATTAAATCCTCAAACTCGAACTTGAACATTAAATACAGGAAAGTCTTATTGTATTTTTTTTTAAAAAAAATCAACACATAAATGTTAATATTATTAATATTTTATTTTAAAAAAATAAAATCTTAATATATTATATTTTCGAGCTGTTCACGAGTTTTTCGAGTTGAGCTCGAGTTCGAGTCAAGTCCATTCGATCCGAATATTTATCTAGCCTTGACCGAGTCAATCTCAAATAACTCGCGATATGTCTCGTCTCATTTATAGCTCTTGTAAGGAGTTCGCTTCTCGTTTTCAGAAGATCTATATGTAGTTGGCAACTGTGGACGACATTTAACGTTCTCATCAACAACTGCATAATCAAGTGGAGATGAGACATCCAAGATTATTGGAACAATCCCATGTGTGGTCGGAGTATAAGTTATAACACTATACAGAGGTCCAGTCATATATAGCTCAGTTTCACCTCTCTGAACAAACCCACAGAAATATCTGCGAAAGGAGGAATGAAAGGAGGACATTCTACCATGTATGTAGAGAGAATACTGGAAGGAGGAATAAAAATGCAAACTCTAAAATAGACAAACTTACATAAACTAAAATTTACACAAATTATATATTAAATATTTTTTATTTTTTTAATATGATAAAATACTATGACGTTCTGAACTTTACCCTGGACTACCCGAGGGAGGCAAATAAGAACCTCTGAATACATTTCTTATACTGCCCACCACACATTAATTATAATTTTCACCCCTATAAATACATTTTCCTCCTTTTCGTTCTCTTCATCCCCAACCCCACAAATCATTTCATCGTTCGATACATTGGATCATGGCTTCTTTTGAAACTTTCAACGTTGTTTTCTTCCTCCTTTTCTTTCTCTCTTTGATTCTTTTCAATACAGAGGCAAGGTCCGCCACAAGGACGCTTACCACGTCGTCCGGGCAGCCTATGCCATTCCAATACCACGATGGCCCTCTTTTATCCGGCAAAATCTCCGTTAATATCATTTGGTACGGCAAATTCAAGCCTTTTCAACGTGCCATCATATCTGATTTCATCGTTTCCCTTTCATCTTCCAACCCTCCTCAACCCTCGGTGGGCAAATGGTGGAAATCCATTGAAAAATACTATCATCTCACCAAGAAATATCATCCCCTTGTCCTTTCATTGGGTACAGAAATCTCTGATGAGAAATACTCCTTCGGAAAGTCATTAAATAATCAGCAAATCCTGCAATTAGCATCAAAAGGTCCTCAGAAGAATGCTATTAACGTCGTCTTGACATCGGCTGACGTTGCCGTCGAAGGGTTCTGTTCGAGGTGCGGAACCCATGGTTCAGGTTTGGGTTCTGGTTCAAGCCAGGGTTATAAGTTTACTTACATCTGGGTCGGCAACTCGGACACGCAGTGCCCAGGTCAATGCGCTTGGCCATTCCACCGTCCCACCCACGGACCGCAGTTCCCACCTTTGGTCGCACCGAACAACGATGTGGGTCTCGATGGAATGGTGATCAATCTAGCTAGCTTCTTGGCCGGGACTGCCACGAATCCGTTTGGAAATGGTTATTATCAGGGCCCGAAAGAGGCGCCACTGGAGGCTGCTTCTGCCTGCCCTGGGATATATGGTAAAGGAGCTTATCCGGGCTATTCCGGAGACCTTCTAGTGGACCGGAACACCGGAGCTAGCTACAATGCAAACGGTGTTAATGGCAGAAAATACTTGCTCCCTGCTTTGGTTGAGCCCACAACCTCGGCTTGTTTTACTTTGGCTTAAAACAAATACTCATACAACATGCAAACATGTCAGTGCATAGAAAACTCTAAAGATACAATCTGTATATCATATAGTTTTGTTTTCTTTTATTATATCATTTAATTTTTTAGAAATGAATAAAAGATTTTCACCTAAATTATCATTTATTTTTAGTCCAGTATTTTCTCCCACTCTCGTTATTAAATATATTGGTGGAATGTTTTAACTGTTAAGGTTGTTCATCTTGTTTATTCTAAAGAAGTTTTTAGTTTTATTAAAAAAAATAAAAAATATTCAAATTATAATGAAGATTTACAACCATAACCATAAACTAAACACATAACATAAATATTGTTATACAATCAATAATACAATAAACTAGTTACTTAAATATCACACAAGGTCCATTACAAGGAAAATGTTAAAAAACCTTACCAAATAAACTCGAACAAAAGGTTGATACGAACATAATTGATTACATCGATGAACGAACCACATAAGGAAATCAAGTTATTGGAAGATCACCGATAAAAGCACAAATCAGTGTCAAATGACTTGAACAAACTATCAACGAACGTAAATTGTATATCCAAATTCAATCTGATGGTCCAAAACAGAGAAGATGATGATACATGCATCACAAGGCTCACATCAAAGGAAGAAGTAATAACTCTTCCAAATGATCCACTCGTCCAAGCTTTGGAAAAGAAGATCAGAACAGCAGCAGACTTGCGACGACTTTTTGAATGGGATCCTGATCTTATTTGGTCAACATGTCTTCTGGAGATAAAACCGTCTGTCTCTTATCTTTCCAACGGTTCTTGAATCGTATCAATGCGATATCGGGAACTCAAGATATATCCATTTTACTGAAGACGGTGCATGCAGAAAATCTTATACGGGATTTTGTAAATATTACGAATTTTCAATATTTTTATTGATTATTTGTAATATAACTTAATATAGGATGATGCAGTACCTTTTAGGATTAGATTTATTATTTTATTAGGAATTAAGGTTGGGTTAAAATATTATCTTTAGTTATTATTATTTTATTAGGAATTAGAGTTAAGACATGTTTAGTTTATTATTATTTTATTCATTAGTTATCTAAGGCCATTAGAACTCAACCCCTATATAAAGGAGGCTTCATTCAACTTTGTAATTGAAGATTTCTTTGATTAATAATACAACGAGAGTTCATTTTTGCAAGTGTTGATTGCCTTGTGCCTTCGAAGCTTCTTCTCCTTGAGTTCTTTCAAGTTCTTGTGAGGGAAATTAATCTTCACACTCCAATTTGCCTTTTCATCGCGACTAGGAGGGTTGGTTAGAGCCACATTATCGTGTTTGCCTTTTCATTGCGACTAGGAGGGCTCGATAGGACACTTATCCATCTATTTTCCACAAATCCATCCTCACCATCATCATCTTTACCGTTCACCTTCATAAGGGAGATCTTTTGATTTCTTGGTTATCTTATTTTATTTTCAATTTCTTTATCTATTGTTTATCTTGTTCTAATATTGTTTCTTATATTGTTTTCAGCACCTCAAAGAAACCCTAAAAGAACCCTAGCTATTACCGCCACCTTCTCTATTCATTCATCATTGTTCTTCATCGAGTCTAGAGCTTTCTAGGTTTGATTCTTTAATAAGAGCAACGTTCATTAACCCGCCACCGCTTCCCTATCAATTGGTATCAGATTTGGGCTGACTTTTGGAAAGAAGCAAGCAATCTTACTTGTTCTTGCACACAAAACCGTCAAAGTACCCCAACAGAGCTAGTTCAGAGAAGATTCATCGTTTCAGGTTATTTCTATTTAATTTTAATTTAGATTCAAATCCTTCTTGTTAGTTTGTTTTTTTTTTCAAAAAAACAAAAAAAAGAGGCTAAAAACAAAAAAAACAAAAAAGCCAAAATTTCAAAAAAAAAATTGCAAACGAAGGTATTTAGGTCTGATTTTCTTCATATATCATACTCATCTTAAGTGTAATCTCTAGTCCAAAATTCACTTCAATCAGAGTTTATTAGAGCCTTCAAATACATCATTCAAGTTTTATCGGCAGATTCGGTCTAGAATATTGTCGAATTTCTTGAAAATTCTACAGGAGGAATTTTGTGCTGAAAATGTCCAGATTGAAACTCCATATAGTGGATATCATTCACACAAAAAATCATAATTTTTGGAGATCAAGAACAACTTCGAACAAAGCGATCAAGAAAAACAGATTGTTTGAGGACTCACCGTTCAACAGAGTCTACTGGATACTACTGAAGGTATTTGGTTCTGAAATTTTACAGGTGGTTTCTTGACGCATCGAAAGACATTCAAGAATTTTTCCAGAATTTTTGGATACCAGTAACCCCCTCAAAAACGTTGTTTAAGTTGATCCAGCGTTTTCTAGGTTTTCTGGTTTGGTCCTTTTTTTTCTTTGACTCTTAGTGCTTTAGGTTCTTTTGTTTTTTCCTGTTATTGTTCTTTTGCATTATCTAACACATTATCTTCCTTCTGTTAGTAGGACTAAAGAGTTTTCATACTTCTTCCTTCTTTGCATTCTCGTTCTCTTGGAGTCTAACCTTTGTTTGGCCTCTTAGAGCTTTTAGGTTTTTCTTATCGCCTTTGCTAGTAATTAAACTCCGATACGAACTGTGAAAGACTACTTGGTAAAGTGAGTTTTAAAGAGTACAAGATCGGCTTACTTGCCTCTCGTTGTGTTACTTTCTTGGAGTGACTTGTGAGGTTTCTTGCTTTGTTGAATTTTCTTTCTTTTTATTTTTATTTTACTTTAAAATTTTCTTTCGAGTGTTATGATTTCAGGATGTGTGACAATAACATTAAGACACTTACGACTATCTTAGCCGCACTTGCACGACTCACGACTCAAGTTGAAAGATTTGATAAACTTACCAATACCGTGAGAGAACGACAAGAACCACAATTGGATCTATCAAACCAGAATCCAAGACTAAACAATGCTAAACTTTTGGTACCCAGGCGAGAACAACCACGTTTCCAAGCACCCGAACTCTTTGCAAAACCAAAGTTCATGATCCCGTCTTTCAAAGGAGACAACGATCCGGATAGGTACATCGATTGGGAAGGAAAAGTTGATCTCATATTCGCATACCATGACTACCCCCAAGCTAAACAAGTTCCCCTCATCACCATGCAATTCGAAGGATATGCTCGAACTTGGTGGATGCAAACAAGGAAAAAGATCCAGAATTTCCAAATTCCAACAATCACTTCTTGGACCGACCTCAAACAAACCATGAGGAAGCGATTCCTACCGACACATTATACACGAGAAGTTAAACTACGACTACACCGACTTCGACAAGGTAGAAGTTCAGTTGAAGACTACTACAAGGAGATGCAGTCCTTACTCAATAGGGCTAACATAACCGAAAAAGAAGAGGTCACCGTGTCAAGATTCATCGTCGGCTTGAACTCAAACATCACTGATCTTCTTGACCTCCATGGGTATGAAAACCTTGAAGATACACTAAAGAAAGCAATGACAATCGAAATACAAATCCAAAGGAGATTCCGAGAACATTACCAAGGTACTTCATCCTCTTACCAAGGTAATCCTTCAAATCCTTCCTCATCTTCTGCTCCATCTTCTCTGAAAAAACCAAGAGATGACAAACCTGACAAGGAGAAAGAACGACCAGCAAAGAATGACACACTTCCAGCCCCTAAAGATCAAATGATAATTTGTGAGGAGGTAGGGAAAGCAAAAAAAGAAAAAGCTGAGAAAGATGCAAAAGAAAAAGAGGTCACTAGTTACAAAAGCCAAAAGAATAATGACCCATGGGAGGTGAGTGAACCTAATTGTGAGAAGAAAAGAGTGACTCAAAATCTATGTGTGAGCACAAAAGAATTGATAGAGAACCTTCTTTACAAACATCCTTCCATCCTTGTTCGCTTTAGAGAATCAATTGTTTCGATTTCTAACATTAACAAGGATTTGCCTAGTGTGTTTTCATCTTTGTTACAGGATTTTCAAGAAGAATTATGTGATCCACCTGACGGATTACCACTGGAAGAAGGAAAACAACACCAAACCAATCTAATTCAAGGTTCCATCATACCTCGTCAAACATACAATCTCGAAGAAACCAAAGAGTTAAATTTGTTACAAAAAGGCTACATCCATGAAAGCCTTAGTCGTAACGTCATCTTAATGATGAAACATGACTTGAACAACTCCACATGCTTTATAGTTCATGCACAGGGAATCCATGTAAATGATGAAGTAAAAGCAACACGAGACTGGCCCACACCATCTTCTATCGCCAAGAGTTGTCAAATAGTGCTAGGTGACCCTCCTGACGGGTTACCACCTGAAAGCCCTAATCACTATGCTATATCAATGAAGAGTCATGATTTACAAGAGTCCAAAGGTAAGTATTTTATTACTCATTTTAATGACATTGTAACATACTTCTTCTCCTTCTTACAAGGTAAGGCTCGTGAAGTTGTCATCCATACTAAACACAACTCCTTTAAGTGCGTAACATACCGAGGTAAGCAAAACACAGTAGACGATACACTACCACGAAGGTATACTCTTACCTATCAAACTCATACTACTATTCCGAGAATTGAACATATCAAAGATTTATATCACGATAACTCTGATATTTTTTATATTTCTACCCATACTTTTAAAAGTGCTTTTAATGAGCTTTATCTTGTATATGAGTTTCCTTGCCAACTAAACAGGTTCTACAGTCCACAAAGCTTCTCCCAGGAATCATTAATTCATGAACCACACTTAGGAGACTTAAGAGATTACTTTAACAAACCAGTTGACATGGTTTTTAAACACTCATTCTCGCCACACATTAATAAAACCATGGAGAAATTATCTGAAATAATCATACAGAAAGCCAACAGTGGCCGGCGCCATGTTGAAATTCAACCAAAACATCAGATTACAAGACTTGTATGCAAAAGAGGATTTCAAGACTACAAGAAATCAGTTCCTACAAAGAAGAAACCTCGACTGAAACGCATAAAGACACATCACATTGATC